ACATAGAGTTTCTCATTATAGCATTATCAATAGCATTATGTATTTTCTGGTGGGTTTTAAACACAGAATCATATGACTGTGAACTCAAAGGTCAAAGTCTCACCAGAACTGATGATAAAGCCGTTTCTGCTTGCCTTGTGTGTTGATAGTTGAAATTGTCTCGGGTATCTGGGACATGTTCAGCTTACACAAGAGCAAACACAAATTGAAGCATTTCCAAAACACAACATGTCCAATTTAGAGAAACGCAAACACCATATAACCTGTGACCTGTCCTTCAGTATCTCTGAATTATAGAGGATTGAATGAGTGCAAATGTTTGTCTTTGTATGTCACATACTGTTTCAACAAGTATCACTGTTTGTTCAAAGGTTTCCCTTTCAACTCAGGGCAGGTTGTAATGATCATATATATGTATAGAATTTGTACTTATTGTAAAAGAAGAAGGGAAAATCATAAACGGCTTCACAACAAGATGATTCTGCTGCCTTTGAAGGAATAGTTCAACTTTTGGGAAATACACTTATTTACTTGATGCTCATATGAAGCTACAGCCAGCAGCTTACCTTAGCTTAGCATACCGATCAGAAAACAGGAAACAGGTAGCCGGCTCGCTAATGCTATCTTGTTTACAAAAGTTGAAGAGTAGAAACAACAAGATGTGGTTTCACAAGGGGTTGTGTGCTGGATTATTTCACAGCTGACTGTCTCGTGGTTGTTGCTTCATATGTTTTTTAAAGTTCTTATTGATTTTTTTAAAGAAAGGGTTGGTACATAGTTACAAGAAGAGCCTAGGATAGTGTCAGGGTCACAGGTTGGACACTATCACAAGACATGGTGTAAAAATTTCAAAAGAAAAAAAGATATCATACAGTGAATTGAAAGAAGTGCATAGTGATCTCTATAAACAGATGTGAGCAAAAGGGCAAGATTTTGGTTTCCGTTTTTAGTCCTTCTGTAATCAGAGTAAGAACACCAGCAGTAAACAGTCCCTGTGGAGAGGTGGAACACATTGGCTATCATCTGATGACAACTTTTTATTAGCTTTTTTTCTGCATTCATGTGCGGATATCTGTTTTTAGAGATTAGTCGAAATGACTGCTGCATGGAGGAGGAAGTCTTGGCCCAGATATCCGCTTGCTACCCTGGATCTCCTGAAATATTGGCCATTGCCATGAGAGGCTTATTGTCGTCAGAGTGACAGCCAGCAGATTCAAAGATTGAGAACATAGTTGAAGAGAAAACATCTCAAAGTCAAAGGCAATTTTTGGCTATGCTTGAAAATATCTTAACTCCATGAAACTCTACATAGGTCCAAAAAAACGTCGCACCTTACCTCCTACTCTCTTGTAGACTCATGCTACCTCTACCATTGCATCAACCCAATCTTTCAAATCTGGAGCTTTCTAGCTATGTCTGATAGCAGTTCGTTTGTCCTGCGCGCTGAGGAGTGTGACAAAGCTTCAATATTTGTTGACCTGGGAATAAGAATAGGTTTGACACCTCACAAAGGAGATAACAGCGCACACTCTGATGCTACAAGCCAAGTTTTACCCGTCTTCACGGCAACACTAAAAACAGCATCTCTGAGAATGTTCCCTCTGGTGGGAGTTTTGCAAAAGATCATTTTTCAGTGACCTAAAACGCAGTTTGTGTGTCGGCAAAAAGCCAAAACACATAGAAGAAGCTACATTTTGGAATATACCCAAGTACATGTGGAAAGGTGTCATAGGACTTCCTAATAGATAAAGAATATTGGCTCAGTGATTGATATTAGACTCCATATAAAACAGCGCACCCTGTAAAATGGTTTCTATCTGTCTACCTAGTGTGTTACACAACCTTCCTGTTGTCTTCCCAAACTGTGGGATCATAAAAGCCAAATCAATTCGGAGCATTTCCAAATCCATTTTTGATTTTAAGCTGAAGGATTTTGTAACCGAGGTTGGCTAATGCCTTCTTGTAGCTCAAGACATTTCAAGCAAGAGACAAACAACTCTGGAGGTGGTTGCAGAGATATGTGCTATCACATTTTATTACTTAAAGTACAGTACAACCATAAACAAAGACGACATGGACCAAATCATTGCTAATTGGTCTAGATAGATAATGCTGAACATTGACCATGTTACTTAATCAAGGTCCTCTTAAAGTTGGTGCAAGTCTCAACTTGCTGCCTCTTTTTCTTATCTGTGACCTGGACTTTATTTTAGGAACATTTAGGGAGTGTGGTTATGTCATTAGAGCCAAATGGTAAACATCTGTGGATAGAATCTTATCTATAAAAGATACACAAGGGAGTAAACCTGCTGTCTCCTGAGAGTCCTTCCCCATGTAGAAAAAGATGACAGAACTTTGACCCCCCGGTTAAATTTAGTGTCCCTTTTGTTATGATAAAGCGTGAATGCTTGGTGTGGACAGGAGAATAGGGTCAGCAGCTCAAGGCTCCAGTTTCCGTCCGCTGAGATCTCATTGTGCATTGCTTGTCCCTCGTGCCACGGGGAAAATGTTGGGGTCATAAATATGCCGTTTCCACCAGCTGACACTTTTTTGTGTGTAAGTGCAGTGAAATTGTCTGTCTCCAGTCATAACTGTCACACCAGCTCGAGACAGACAGGTATCCTGTGGTGACACATTGTTCTGACAGCCCTGAAAAACAAAGCCATCAGCAAGGATCTTAATTATGGTTCACCTCAAACTAAGCAAGGATCTTTATTGTTCGGCTCAGCACACAAAGTCAATGCCACGTGCCAGACGTACCAGGCATGAACTTCATTCTGCAGAACTATGGAGGGAAAAAACACTTCCTGAGCCACTTGTTGCTCCTGACTGTTTGTCCATATAAGGAACTATAAGCATTGGTCACACTTGTGAAGGGACAGTTTCTTAAAAAATACAGGAGAGTTATACCAGCATGAGACTGACACTTGCTGTTGTTTATGAGCAGAGTTGCCTCTCAGAGGGTAACGCCTTGCAGCCTTATCAACACAGATCAGCCAGGCTGCATGGGCCACGGGTCGACTGCACTTGTAAACACAACTCACTCAGCCAAAAGTGAAAATGTGAGTCAAATATTTTTAGCACTGCTGACAGGAAAAGGGAGATATAATCTTCTGTAGCAATTTTGGGAACAGTGAAAAATACACTTTTAGTAACATTCATGACTAAATAATTCTGACTAAACCGAAGTTGATTAGTGTAAATTACACATTTAGAGTAACACTTGAAAAATAGATGTCAGTCTGGACACAGGACTGTATTGTAGAAGCTGTGTATAAAAACTTCCAACATTAGGATTAAAGGCTACATTTACGTCACAGTTCCAGCCAGTGTAGATGGATGTCCCAATAGGAAAAGACCACTCATTCAGTAAACACGTCTCTCTGTTAGAGAACACACTAACAGTTTGATTTAGCTTAATCTTGGTTTATAAACTGGTTGCGTGCCTTGTTAAGCCACTTAAATAACAAATCAAAAGTCACAAATGACTCAGATGAGCCGAGACATCATGCCTTGATTGTCACATGTGTGTCCTACATGTGTCACGTCACTGGTAATAACAACATATCATACGTTAAACACATATAACACACATTATTTTACATTATAAACCAGTAGTGGAATGTAACAAAGTACATTTACCTGTGTGCTGTACTTGCACTTTACTTGAGTATTTCCAATTTTTGGTGCTTTATACTACACTCCACGACAGTTCAGACACAAATATTGTCTTTTTAACTCCTGCACTGTCACTTAGGACTGCTACACTTCAGCTAACTGGTTACTTTGCAGATGAGTTTATTATATGATGCTTAGACTGAACCACTGAACAGTAAATAAAGTACTTAAATTTAGCAGCAGCGGCACACACATGGATGAGTCATTAATAACAATCTAATAATATCATATGTAGTAATTTATATAGTTAACATGTAGGCTACAGTAACCATTCTTCTCTATTCATAATTGAAGTACATTTTGTTAATGCAATACTTTTAGATGTTAAACTTTAATGATTCTACTTTAACTTCAGTAGAAAGCACTCCTTCCACGGGTGAAGGGAGTTAACAGCTTCTGAAACACATCATATCACAGACAACTTGTAATATATAATAAGGGATAACTGAAGGGGCCTGCTGGGCACAGGCCCAGGGGCTCCTCTGGCTTTTACCTGCAAAACGTCATTTAAATTAACATGTTCTGACCAAAAAGGAGACTTGGAAATAACAAAAAAAGAAATCCAAGAATACCACAAAGAGATGCAAAGAAACTGTAAAGAGACAAAATAATACAGGGAAAACAACCACAAAGCAACATAAAATGACAACGAAGAGACACAAAATAACTACAGAGACACAAAATCACTACAATGAAACTCAAAAAGACCACAAGGAAACAACTAAAAAGAGACCCAAACCAACAACCAAAAGAGACAAAACAACTTTAAAGTCTGCCTTGCTCATATGTAGATGAATTGGTGGGGTCTTCTGCATGTCTGTGCCCATGGGGCCCCTTGTCTCATAATCCACCCATGCCTCCCAGATAAAGATTATGGGCATGTTTTATTGAGTTAGTGTTGAACTGAGTGAAGTGGTTGGATACCTGAGTGAAACTGGTCGTTAAAGATAAAATTAAATAGATTTAGATAGAAGTAAATGATGATTTAAAAAAAAAAATAAAAAATTAAGTGATTTAAAAATAAAAAATCTATTGGGGACAGCTGGCAATTATAATATGGTGCATTTTACATGGTGGCGTTTGGTTTATATTACAGCATTCTACAACATGAATGCACTATTTGTTTACTTCAAATACCATTCAGAGAGATGAGGTGATATTTTGGACAGAGGTTTCATCAGTCAGACTGCCATGCGTGTTCGCCGGTCGGGGAGCTGCAGCAGACTCCCAGAGAGGCGGCGCCTTTGTCTGCTCCACAACTGCTGACGTCACCGCTCCCGGCGGAGCGAACCTCCCACCACAGCCCTATAAATACGCACCGGCTCAGCTCTCCGGACACACTCACTCAACCCTCTCAAGTCACAAGCCGCTCCGGCCAAGCAGTGCGCACCTCACAACTCATCCTCAACGAGTTGCAGGGCCACACTTGGAGCAGAAACGCAAGACATCCAGCGGAGAGACAAGATGTCGTCCTACGTGTCCTCAGAGTGCCGCCGCGTCAGCCCATCTGTCCACGGCAACAAGTTTGACACGGCGCACCGCAAGAAGGCCGTGGCCAACATCTTCGAGAATGTCAACCAGGACGCGCTGATGAGGCTCTTCCAGAAAACGGGTGACATGAAGGCGGAGGAGAGAGTGAGGAGCATCTTCTCCTACACTCAGGACCCGGAGGAGACGTCCCGGGCCCTGATGGCTCTGAAGCAGCGAAAGAAGGACAAGTTCCTCCAGATCGCGGGCATGGTCCGGCAGCTGCTCAAGATACGCTGACTGTGTTGTCTATCTGTCGGCTCGTGTGTGAGCTGAATGTGAAAACACTCCCAATGTGACTGGGTTACCGCCGCAGATGCGGCTCACCTTTCGCCTGGAAAGGAGCGTTAGGTGCGGAGGAGAATGTGCAGCGGACCGCCTGGATGGCAACATGCCGCAGCTGTCACCTCATGGATGGAGGTGGCACCGCAGAGTCCTGCCTGGAGCAGATGGAGAATGATGAACTGACTGGGGATATGAAGGGCATACATGTCTTTCCTGAGACTTGAATTCAATAATGCATTCCTGTGGATGCCTGACTGTGAAGCAGCCCCCTGTACAGGTGCACATCACTGTGCTGATGGTGTGCACAGCTGCAATATGAGACTCTATAGTGCCGAAGAACCTGCCTACATGAATGCCTGTCCTGAACACATGCCTTGTCTCAGCTTCACTAATGAAACTTCTCATTGGTGGCCACTAATGTGTTATTGTCACTAAATGCTATAGCACAATGGTTTGCATTTATGATGTGTTCTTTTGATATTTTTTAATAAATTATTTCATTGTATACAAAAGTTGAACCTTTGTTTGTCTTTATTACACAAGTCTCTGACATGGTTTTATTTTGTGTGGCATTTATGCCGTTACTGGTCATCACATCAGGTCAGATGAGGTTAATATCCTGTTAAGTTGTTGAGGGGCATCACAGGTGTTGATATTTATCACCTTTATCACTCAAGGACTAGTGAGGTGTCAAAGCACGAGGATGGACTGCAAAAACCAATTAAAAAGAAACAAAGAAGCCCCTCTTTATGCATTTTAATAAAGGAAACAACAGCAGTGAAAGCACAGTGAATGAAATTGTAATAATCTTACAATTCTGGCACATATTGGATTTGTTTTCTTTTGATCCAAGATGAAATTACTTTTTAACAATAAACCCATCTTAGCCATCTGCTGTCAAACAGCTGTGACCTTTCTGTTGCTCATAAAAAGTGAAAGCTCTCAGATCAACAGTCCACATCACCATAAAAATAGGAATGTGATGTGTTAGACTAATTGTAGAGAGATTCACTTTACAGAAATGTAACGGCTCATGTGTGGAGTGCTGAGTCATGTAATCTAGGATCAGAATTATTTCACAGTAAAAAAGGCACATGATGAGCACATTTCTTCCTGTATTGTTCTTCATTCTGACGCAACAGAGGGCGATTGAAGGGAGTAGAGTTACTCATGAGAGGATGTGGTTAACCTCCATGGGGTTTCCCTCACAGCGCTGTGTGCCTCACCAGACCAGCGAGAACCAGTTTGGCTCAGTTTGGGCTGGAAGGGGGGGGGGGGGGGGGGGGGGGGGGGGGGGGTTGGACGGCTTTGTACACACAGTGTGTTTGCGCTGGAGTCTATTTAATCATCCCCGCTCTTGTGATAAGAGCATGTCTAAGTAGCATTACAGGGTTTAGACGGGTGGAGGCTTCATATCCTCACCTTCTGATTCTTCACTCTCAAGGAAGGCTTTAATGATCCCTCCATCACTGCAAACATCTACTACATTTACACCCTAATTTCAAAACCTTTGTGATGTATTCTACAGCGTTTCATCAGTGGCTGGGTGTGTACAGTGTGTAGGCTTAGCTGCAGACACACAGATCACTTGAGTGGATGCCTGCTAATCTGCTTGCTTTGATAGTCCCTCTACCGGCTCAAACCAGTTCCCTGGGTTGTTGCACATGCATGATGACATCTGACTGTGGGTGCTGCTCTCGTGTGCTGAGAGATATGGGAAGCTCCAGTATCAGTCATCCTGAGGCGGGGAAGTCTCAGGTGAATAAGCACCTGTGCCTGAGTGCTTGTGTGCTGATGCCAGAAACCAATTACTCCAGGCCACAGACAGACAGCCAGACGCTCACACTTTGATCTGAACTGAACAACTTTCAAAGATGAGGCAGAAATGCCTTTTCAGTACTGGATAAATAAAAAAATAAGAAAAAGGGGAAAAGTATTCAAAATCAATATTCCCAGCACTTTAATCATCACTAATTTTATGAAATTGCTTTCTTGCCAAGAGTTAGATGAGACGCAACATGTCTGTAAATATGAGACTAATCTCTGTTTATAATCTTTGTGCTGAACTAAGATAGCTGGCTGCTTCTGATATCTTAATATTCAGCGCACAGACATGATAGTGGAGCCAGTCTTCTCATCAAACTCCACAAGTCTACTAGCGTATTTCCCAATAAGTCAAACTACTCCTTTAAAGGATTTATGTCTCAACACTTTTTTAAGGAAAAAGAATCATTTAATACTAATAACACTTTCTGAATATATATTTTATTTAAAGGCACAGTGTGTAAGGTGTAGGGGGCTTTAGTGGCATTTAGCAGTGAGGACTGCAGATTTCCAACCAGCTGAAACTTCTCCCAGTTAGAATACCCCCAGTGTTCATTATTCAGGAGGTTTTTACCAGGAGCCGAATTATCCACAGAGATTTCCTCATCTCCAAGAGGAATGGACCCACTGATTTAAACTAGAGAAAATACTTTATAAAACAGTTTCACATTAAAAAAAATCTTTTTTTTTTCTGACACTGGTAACTATGGTGTCCAATGCGAAAATGCGTAAACGGCATACTTCCCTATCTAGAGCCAGTGTTTGGTTTGTCTGCTCTGGGTTACTGTAGAAATATGTCAGTACAACACAGTAATCTCCCAAGACAACACATTCTCACTCCGACCTCGTCATATGCTGACATTTTGGTCATGGATTTTCCACGTCCACATACAACGTGCAAGGTACCCTGGGTGCACTGGTAGTTGACGTTCTGGGACACCGTGTCAGGTTCTCTTCTTTCAAGATACATTTCTGTTTTCACAGGAAATTTAACGTTTACATAGAGTCTCTTTCAAAATAAACGCACAATTGACTTTTTTTTTTACCTTCAACAACAAACAAATGTGGTTAGGTTTAGGAAAAGAGAACAGGGTTTTAGAATCTTAGAGGATGCAAACACTGCTCTCATGGGTGAAAGTCTGTGTTTGTTGGGCCCATCCACCACCCCTCCCGCCAGCCCCACTAGGACTTTTGCCGCCTTAACCTTCGTCCTTGTCCCACCAAGTTTCCCCTGACGCCGCCGGGCGCTGTTAAACTAAAACGGCAATCAGCCATGTATCATACCAACATTAAAGGACGCCTTTTTTTGTTGGTTTCTGAGGTTGCAAGTCACTGCCCAAGCATTGGATTTCGACGACTTCGGAGTGAGACCATGCTCCCCTCGACGAGGACCTGCTGCCTTTGTAGATATAAATGGCTCATTGTGAGGTTATGTCAGAGATGGGACCAAGTCACACTTGCAAGTCTCAAGTTAGTCTCTGGTCTTAACCTTCAAGTCTCAAGTAAGTCCCAAGTCATTTTTTCTTGGGCAAGTCAAGTCAAGTCACAGGTTATGTCAAGTCAAGTCAAGCCAAGTCAAGTCCTGTAATAGGTCAAGTTCATTGCTGCATTGTTTACTTTGCAGGGACGACCCCCATGCGTGCGCGTGCACACAAACACACACACACACACACACACACACACACACACACACACACACACACACACTAACCAAGGCAGCGGCCAAAATCACCCATTTAGCTCATTTAACCCTGTGTTGCTCGTTCATAAAACGTCCAGCCGGTCTTGTGATAAACCAGTCGGAATGTTTGCTCACGTTTTCTGGGGTTAATGTTAGCAAATAAATTAAAAAACAAGTTCCACCAAAAGTCTGAAGTTGTCGCCTGGTTGCCCGAGATGTTTATGCCGCATGTCTTGCACTGTGCTGTTCGTCTTTTGCCGTAATAATGGTAATTCCGAAAGCCGAAGACGATGACTCTCGGTACCCCTCCTGCTGACATGTTGATGCCTATCTGATATAAGAGGGCCTGTTTCTCCAATAAACACGTAAGGTACGTAGAGAGGGCATGACTGATTGACAGGGTAGTGATCCAATCATGACAACGCCATTCTCAGCCTGCGCTCCTACCTGGTAATCTACATTATTTTTTAAATTAATTTATTAATTTTATATTCTAACCGAAAACATGATGTGAATAACACTCAAGTCATTCAAGTCATCCTGTCTCAAGTCAAGTCAAGTCCCGAGTCTTTAACTTCCAAGTCCAAGTCAAGTCTCAAGTCTTTTATTTTTTGTGAAGTCAAGTCACAAGTCATCAAAACAGCGACTCGAGTCGACTCGAGTCCAAGTCACAATGACTCGAGTCCCATCTCTGGGTAATGTAAACACAATGATTCTTATTTTCAGGTGATTATTCACAAAAGAAAAAGTACCTATATTTCATTTCTGCCAATATATCATCCTACATCCTACACACTGGACCCTTGAATGATAATCTTTAGCCAAGGTTACAGAGGTCACAGTTCACCCACCTTTTAATTCACCTCTTTATCACAGTTTGTTAATCATGCGTCTATTTTTGCTCTTTTATCTCTCAGCTGTCCCTTTTGTTTGGCTCGTGTATCTAACACCAGGCAGCTTCTTTTATTGGCCCCCTTTTCCCCTTTTAGGGCTATCCAATTGTTAAGGAAGAAAAAAAAATATTCAAGGCAATTGTCTTGGCTGTCTTTGCTGTGTTGGCAGCGGTGTGCAGGGTTGGATGCGGGCCTGTCCTCTCCCACCCTCTTCCTGCCTTTCATCGGCCTTAGAAACGTCAAATGCTTTGATGTCAACAGACAGTGTGGCAGACAGCCTTTGCGCCTGGAGGACAGTAACCACAGAGAGAGGAGGATATAGGGTGGAGGTGTGTGTGGAGCATGGACAGGGGTACAATAAAATTATTGAAATGACAATTTAACAAATGGTGTGTAAAACATAAAATTAGTGTTTAAAGAAACTGAAATGCAATTTATTTTTACACCTTTGGTGTGATGTTTTTTATGTTCAGAAAAGGTTACTAGAGCTATCAGTGTGCTTGAGACTTAGATGAAAGACCAGAATATTCATCATATTCCAGAGTCCTTGTGCTCTCCTTCTGACAAACATACAGAACACCACACAGCTACAAAGAGATCTAATTCATCCTTTTGCTAGAACAAAGAGAAATGGTTACAGCCTGGCTTCTCCCTGTTTGGGCAGCCAATTCAAGACCTGGCCTGCTCCCTGAAAGGTTAAATATTAGTCTTTTTCTCATAAATGCAGTCAGTGGGGGTTGGAAAAAGAAAGAAAAAGAAGGTGAAGACATGGAGAGGCGCTAGATCAGTGATTACAACACAGGGAGTGGCAGTCAACTGGATTCCAGCGCAAACCGGTTCAAACCAAGGTCTGTGATGAGGAACTAAGCGTGAGCTGTACACAGGCTTAGGATTAGTCAGCGTTCAGCTGGAAGATCCTGCTGTAAAATCAACAGCCCTCGACATATTAAGTCAGTGTCCTGTTTGATAAAACAGTGTGGGCTGTGACACTTGGCCGGTTTCACATTAACAAAAGGCTCCTCTTTATTCTATATTTAGCTTGTTGTTTTATAAATCAAGCTGCTGGATCCTGAAAAAGGCAATCCAAAAATGGAGAGCCAGTGACTAAAATGATCATACT